CATGGGGCAGATCTGTCCACCACCCTGGGAGGTTATGCAAGTATTTATCTTGAGATAATCACTGTGTTTGCTGAACATTTTGTTTTGTGAACTCCATCATAGATATGCTCTACCTCATAATCTAGGAAAAAAAAAATATTTTTTAATTGCTTTACCTTCATAGCAAAGTGAGTGCAGATGTTTTGAGTAGAGCTTTTACAAATAAATCTCTGATTGGTTCTGGCTTTTCTTTTTTTTCTTTTTCTTTTCCATTGTGAATTGGTGGGAGAAAATGATGGCACTTTCTTCTCTGATATTATAGTTGGAGACACTTTTCTCTCCTTCATCTTCATGTTGGGTTCCTTCAGTATCCATTTGGGCAACCAATGCTGTGAAATCTGACTCTAAAAGAGAATTGAAGGACCTGGGCATCCATCTAAAGAAAATTACCAAGTCTGATCAAACTTCAGGGTACATCAAGGGTTCAAGTTTTCCAGGTGTGGCATTGTAACTTACAAATGCTGCTCTAGAGAGTATTAACGAAACCAAAGGCATGTTCCCATAGCCCAAGAATGGCTGTGAGTGAATTTGGAAGTGTGCTGTGATACAGCAGTAAATGTTGATCTAGTTGGTACAGACAGGATCTCAGGTCCTATCCTCTGGTGCAATCTACTTTGGAACCAAAACCACCATAGATGAAGATAGCAAACAATTTTTATTTATTTTTAGAGAAGGGAAACTCTATTTTTGGCTCATGGTTTCAGTGGTTACTTAGTCCATGGTCAGCTGATTCTGGGCCCAAGGTAAGGCAGAAAATCATGGTAGAAGGGAGCATAATCATGGTGGAATGTAGCTCAGTGTTACAGCATTTGCCTGGCATGCATGAGGTCCTAGGTCTAATTCCCAATGCCACAGGAAAAAAAAAATAGAAAAGAAAGAAAATCATGACAGAAAGGAAAGTTTCTCTGCTCATGGAGACCAAGAAGGAGGGTGTGGGGAGTGGGGGAGGGAGGTGTACTAGTGAAACAGGTATAAAATCTCAATGCCAAAGAAATGCTCCCAGTGACCTAACTTCCTCCAGTCATGCCCTATCTGCCTATAGTGACCATCCTATGGTTTGAACTCATTCAAACCCTAATGGTCCATCAATTGCACCTCCCATTGGATCATCGCAATGACCTCATGAGGTTCTAGTTCTCAAAAATCTAATCATTCATCTCCTGCATTAACACAGGAATTTGAGGGGAATGCCTCATATCCAAACCATAATATTCCATCCCTGGCCTCCCAAAGCTCATGTCCATCTCACAATGTAGAATGCATTTAGTCCATCTCCATGAGTCTTCCCAGTATTAACAGTTCCGGTATGGTCCAAAAGTCCACGTACTAAATCTCCTCTAAGACTAAAGGGAAAACTCTTGGCTGTGAGCATCTCTAGAATCAAAACCAGGTTTTATGTATATCCTATAATGGCACAGAGTAAACATTCCCATCCTAAAAGGGAGAAATAGGGGCATAGAAAGAAGAGTACCCACTCCCCAAAGACTAAAACCTAACTGGGCAAACACCAGGTTCTGGAGTTTCACATCAAGCTCTCAGGGCTCATGGTGGTGAGTTATGTTCTCCAAAGGGCTTGGGCAACCCCACCCCTTTGGCCTTGATTGCAGCCCATGTGGCCTCTCTTTTAAGCAGCTCTGACCACACCTTTCCTCAACAGACATTCCATGTTACTGGCATGTCTTCATTCCAAACTGTCTCCATTCCAGCCTCTGATGAACCTTGAGACTGCCTGTAGGGATTCTGACTCTGCTACACTTTGCCTGGCTTCCCAGGCCCTCCTCTGAAATTTTTATGGAAATCTCCATGATCCTCTAAATCCAGCATCCTGCATTCCTACAGAACCAGCACTATGTGGATGAGGCCAAGGTCTGCTGCCAACTCAAGTAGTAGCTAGGACCTCCTGGATCATGGCTGCAGAGATCTCTGAGTGCCTGGACAGCTGAGCACAGTGAAACAAATCCTGGGGAAGCAGCTTTCTAGGGTCCCCTATGTGAGCAGACTGCACCCAAGGTCTATTCTCAAAGGAGTTGTTATTTTTACACCCTTGATGCTGCCATGGGTATGATCTTGCTGATTCCTGAGATACCCTCAAGGCATCTTTCCCACTGTTTCTTGCAAAGTCTTAGTTTCTCCTTAGTGGTGCTAGTCTCTTCAGCAAGCACACCTTCCTTTGCCCTAATATTATGTGTGTTTCTTTTCTGGCCAAACTGCAAAATTTTCAAACCTTTCCTTTCTGCTTATTTTCTCTCAATTCTTACTGTAAACCTGGCTAAAAGCTGCCGGCAATACCTATGACACTGTCTGAATGTTTTGCTGCCCTGAAATTTCCTCCACCAGATTAACAGGTCCATCATCTTTACATTCAGCCTCACACAAAGTCTCAGGACATAGGCAAAATGTAGACAAGTTATATTCTTCACCAGAATATAACACAATGGCCTCTACTCCAATTCCCAACAGAGAGTCCTTGTTTCCCCTGAAACCTCATGAGCACATAGGAACATCTGCATTCCTATTGACATTCTGTTCTCCTGAACTCCCACCAGAATTGCCCATGAAGCTTTGCTTACAACATTCTAAGCCTTCTCTGCTCTGTACCTCCAAACTTTTCCAAATTCCTCATGCAATCCAGTTTAAAAGGCTTCTGTTACATACCAGTAACATGGAATGTCTTCTGAGGAAAAGCTGTGGTCAGAGCTGCCTAAAAGAGAGGCCACATGGGCTGCAATCAAGGCTTCTGAACTCCAGTTGGCAGCAGACCTTGGTCAGGTTAGTCACAGCAAAGACCCTGATGCTTGGTACCAATTTTGGTGTTATTTAGTTTATCATCATTGTGACCAAAATACTGACAAGAACAACTTGGAGGAGGAAAAGTTTATTTTGGCTCATAGTTTCAGAGGTCTCATTCCATGGTTGGCCAACTCCATAGCTCTGGATTCAAGATGAGGCAGAAAATTATGGTGGAAGGATACAGAGGAGAAAAGCTGCACTGTTCATGGCAGCCAGAAAGCAGAGAGAGGGCAAAGCATTTTGAAAGATTACATAGGCCTAGGGTTCTTAGAAGAATGGGCTATCTATTATATTTGGCTTTCATGATGAATTGAAGAAACAAGATATGGAAAGAGTGAATTGATTGGTTATAATGCTTACCATATATCATTAGGGACCAGTGATCAGAAAGGAATTCCTTTGTGTTTTTATTCAGGTAATATCATGCTTATAAATTGTTCAGAGGAAACTCTGTAAGAGGAAACTTGATCAACTATTTATACATCTTGACTAATGGCCCAGAATACTTAGAACGTTTAAGTTTGGGAGAAAGTGATGAATAATTGCCCTGAGTCTGTGGGGGCATGTTAGCTCAAGCAAGTTTATAAACCATTGCCTTTTTGAGGTATTTTGCAAAACCCTAAAATGTACTTATGGATTATTTTAAAACAAAATATCTCACTTGTGCCTAAGCAGAACATATAATTCTGTGCAGCTCAGTTTTTGAAAATTCTGTTTTGTTAGGGATTTTTAATAAGTACTCAAGTGAAGGCAGGTATGGACAGGACTGTGGTATGAATTGGCTGTCACCAGTGCTGAGATTGCTCCCATTGCTTTATTTTTCTTTTTCCTATTTCCTTTTTTTCCTAAACTCCCTCAGATTATCCTTTTCTGACTAGAGGGAGGCATGTATGTGTCTTAAATAATGATGTATTTTAAAAATATATATTGTAATTTACTTGTACATATCTAACTCGTCTCTTCCACTACTACTTCTGCCTTTGTATCTACCTTGCTATACATAATTCTTTTTATTCATTAATCATATCTATGTTTCCAACTATTTGTCTGCCTAGGGAACTGGCAATTTCATATGGTTAGACTTGATATCCGCCCTGTATCCTTCTACTATCTGTTCGGGTAAGGGCCTGTTCTCCTCAGGACACATCTGCTCTGGACACTCATCTGCATAAGGACTTGTGGGACAGCAAGGGTGGACAGCAAGTGCCTTCTGAGTCTCATCTCGAGAGCACTCCATTGCTTGTCTTTCACCTGATACCGCCAAGCATATTTTTGGCCTGGAGAGTGGCAAAGTGTGCCAGATTGAGCAGGAAGGACTTCACATGCTGAATGGCTCTGGGAGGCAGGAGTGAGGGTATGCATGAAAGGAAAGAGGGCAGGAAGGAGTGACCCCTAACCTTAGTTCTGTTTCTTGATTGGTGGGGAGATCCTCTGGGGTCTATGGGTTCTTACCAGAGACTTTCTTTTCTTCCTTCTATTTTGCTTTTGGCTCTTTCTGGGGAAAAATGGTCTAATCCCCAATAGCAGCCAGCTAAATCAGACAGGAGACACCTTCTCCTCCCCATAGAAGACCACGGACCTTGCCCTCCTAGCACAAGCCAGCTGGCCTGGGCTGCTTCTGGGTGAGCACTGGAGACACTGGGGTTGTCTGGATGTGGGCTATCCTAGCCTTAAGGCCTATTTTCCATCCTTCTTGCTACAATGAGGTTAAAGTTTCCACTATGATCTTGGGTCAGAGGCAAAAGCGTAATTCAAAGTGAACCAAATTAAGGGTTGGAGATTTAGTTCAGTGGCAGAACATTTTCCTAGCACACATAAGACCCTGTATTCAATCCTTGGCCCTGAAAAAAATATCAGCCAAATTGACCAAGATGTATAGTTAGTTCAAAACCCCTAAATTTAAGGAATGCATTTGCTTTAGTCAGCTTTTTCATCACTGTGATCAAAGGACCTGACAAGAACAATGTAGAGGAGGAAAAGAAGTTCAGTCCAAGGTCAGCTGACTCATGGCTCTGGGCCCAAAGTGAGGGAGAACATCATGGCAGAAGGGCCTGGGAGAGCAGTCCGGGACACAGCAACCTGGAAGCAAACAGAGAGAGCTCTGATCATCACGGACTACATATAAACCCCAAAGTCTACCCCCAATGACCTACTTCCTCTGGTCACACAATGACCTACTTCCTCTGGTCTACAGTTACTACAGTTAATTAGTGGATTAAGCCAGTGATTAGGTTATACCTCTCACGATCTATTAATTTCACCTCTAATGAGCTTTTGGGGAATAGCTCATCTCTAAACCACAACAGCATTTTACTCATTGTTCCTTGTATAACTTTAGCAATCTTGTTTTTTGAGCTTAGCCAGATCTTATATTTAAAGATGAAGATAAAGATTTTTTTAAATAAGGGTAAAAATTTTTAAGTGTTTAAAGGTCAGATTCTTGGTTTAAAATAAAATATAAGGTTCCTTATCATGAGCTTACCACACCACTCAGGGCTGGAATTAGGTATGTAACAGTAATCACATTTTCTTAAACCATAGTTTAAAAATGTATGCTTATTTGTAGAGAAAATAGAACAAAGCATTTGAAAATGTCATATAGATGTACAAACTTTTTAGAGAACTAATGTATCACCATCAGAACACAGATCACTTAAGAACTGATTCTTTCCATTTTGGTTCTATGTTCAGTGATGAGAAATACCTGTACTGCCTTGGGCTCAGGTGAATCTGAGGATGTTTTGACCTCAAAAGCAAAAATGAATGGACTTTTCCTTACAGGAAACATAAATCCAGTGTAAGTTATTATATAGATATGTCATTTTTAGTTAAGTGATAATTTATAATATCCAGTCTCTGTAAATACCAAGAGAGTAAAACAACTCTTCAATATGTAGCTGTTGCTATATTCATTAGGGCTTATATTCATGTTAGTTTTCTGATTAATTCACCAGTTTATATCAAGAACCAATTTAGTGCCAAGTACTGCTGTAGGGTTTGAAAAAACGGAAAATAGACCAGTCCCTGCACTCAGTTCGGGAGAGAGACAGATATATTAATGCATGAGTGTGGTAAGTGCTGTAACTGAGGTCTAGTGGAGATTGCACATGTGATAGGAGAATCACCTCTTAGTCTAGGTGGCACAAAAAGACCTTGAAAGTACAATGCTCAGAGTTAAGCCAGGGAGATGAGAAGGGGGGTGGCATTCTTGGCAGAGAAAATAGAACATACAAACTCATGAGGCACTTCAGGAACTTGGTTTGGTAAAGCTGGTGCTCAGAACAAAGAAGAAGGAGTACTGAGGAGGGGGATAGAGGTATGAGAAGAAGCCAGGAACATGCTTGATGTGAAGTCAGATGTTAGAAATCAACTTGAAGACAATGGAGAGCCAATGGAAAAAGTTTTTCTTAACCCTGTTTTATGACAGGACAACATTTTGAGGCTTCCAGTTTTATGTAAGGGGCTCAGATTGAGTTCCTTTTCCATTCAGGCCTGAAGCATGGTTTCTTGTCATATGGCCATTAAATCCCCAGGCCTTATGCTTCAAGCCTCTCCATTCATTCATCAGTGAGCATCTATCTATTTGTGCTGGCTTCACTCTGGTTAATGTTGACACAGACTGAATAAGAAAAGTGAATTTATTAAGATAATGGATTAACTATGAAGT